CTACTACTTTTATCTTTATAACAGATCAATATTCGTTCACTAGTAATTCATAGAGAACCATCAAGAACTCAAAGTATAGAAGATCAAATTCTGGGTTTTCGCTCCTGACTATACAAAACTAATACAAATGTGAAAGTTCAGCCTTAGAATATTAGTTCCAAAATATATTAGTTCAATCTGGCATTCCTCAAACTTTATTCAAAATGGCATGAGTATCAAGCAAATATTTATGCCACGTGTGTAGATATGGGTATATTCCAAAAGTGTAGGTATATAGCTAAGTGGGAAAAAGAGGTAAGGCAAATTACATCAGACAATCTTGGAGATTTTATGAATGGCTAATAGGAATCTGCAATCAGAACAAACAATATAACCTTTTTACAAACATGTTTGAACACATTTATTTCACAGAGCACCTGTGAGGTAGATATTAGATTTCATAGAAAACAACCAAAAGATACCCATCTAGTTTATCAGTGAATGTATATTTCCTATATAGAAAATTATTACATGGGCAAAATCATCATGATGTGTATCCGGAAACCAATTCTTTACATATAATTTTTTGCAGTTTATATGCTCACAGAGTAATCCTCAGCACAAGTCCAGAGACGGTTCGGTTCTTAGTTTCAAAACATACTCTGAACTTAACTGGCTATAGAAACTTAGAAAAGTTGATTAACTGCTTTGAACCTTAGTCTTTATTCATTAAAACAAGATAATAACTAGTTCTTTCCTCTAAGAGTTAGAAAGTTTAAACAACTAAATAAATACATAACAAAATAGGTGCTCAACAATCTAGACTTAACCCTGTGTAATCTTTTTATAAGCAAAGATAATTCAAAACTGACACCTATAAGCTTGCAATGAAAAAAAAATTAACCTACAAACTCAAGTTCCTCTAGACTGCACTTGGAGTTTGCACTTAACTGCTTATACATCTCTGTGCACTCAACTGTATATAATTGGAACTAGATCTCCACACTTGTAATTATCCACCTTCTCTGTGGCACAAACAGTCTGGGGAAACTTCAGAAGATTTAGGAAAGGCCTGATAAAACAAGGTCTATTATACAAGAAAACTTGACAAACTCCAATGCTTGAAGAATCAATAGCAAGAAGAATTTGGGTTATTTTATTACAAAATTCTCAATAATTTATATTTACGAAACATTTTAAATATATGTGAACCCCAAACCTTTCCATGTCCCAAGAAAATGATATAAACTAAAGTAAAAATATGCTGTTTATATTTCTTTATTTCTTTTCTATTATTTTGCTATCACTTCAGTCCTTTGCAAAATCTTTCTCCTGCAACACTGATTGTTATTGGAGGTTTTTGTTTCTTTTTTTATCTTTAGAAGTCAACTCTCAAAAATAACTTTCTTTACCCGGCGAGGTCTTTTTTCACATAGTTCATTAAAGGAGAGCTATAAAAAACTGTTTTTTTTTTTTTTAATAAAAGAGAGCTGATGTTGTAACTCAGTAGGAGAGCATTTACCTTGTATATGTAAAGCCCTGGGTTTGAGAGAAAAGTAAGAAAGAAAAAAAGAAGGAAGGAAGGAAGGAAGGAAGGAAGGAAGGAGGGAGGGAGGGAGGGAGGGAGGGAGGGAGGGAGGGAGGGATGAAAGGAAGGAAGGAAGGAAGGAAGGAAGGAAGGAAGGGAAGGAAGGAGGGAAGGAAGGAGGGAAAGAGGGAAGGACGAAGGGAGGGAGGGAGGGAGGGAAGGAGGGAAGGAAGGAGAAAGAATGAGAGAGAGGGAGGAGGAGGGAGGGAGGGATAGAGGGTAGGAGGGAGGGAAGAAAAGATAGAAAGAGGAAGAATTATTCAAAAGAACAAGAAAGAAAATATACCACTAACAAAATTCAAGTCAAACAAGGTCATTTAGATATCCTTTAATATTTCTGGCCCTGATACTCTTAGCTGTAAACTAGTTTTGTTTGTTTAGTTTTGGGTCACACTGAATGAATGGTGCTCAGAGCTTACTCCTGGCTCTACACTCAGAGATCACTCTAGGCCATGCTTGTGGGACCATATGAGATGCAGGTGATTGAACCTAAGTGAGCAACATGCAAGGAAAATGTCCTGCCAGCTATACTATCTCTCCAACCCCTTTGTTATAAACTGAAAACTTTTTTTTTTTACTAGTTTCTAAGTGATTTCTCTGACTTCCCAGTTTTGTGATCTGAGAAGAATGACTTTTTATTTTTTTATATTTTAATTCTGGCTGCACTTCTGAGCCTCTTCCCTAATAAATCACACATCTCTGGTGAAAGGATAAAACAAATTACAAGAATTTCAACAGAGCAGCTTTTGAAGCAGGATGTTTCTACTTGGATGAACTCTGCTGAATTTGCTAAGCTATGATCTCATGGGGGAGAAGGGACAGTGTTTGGTGTTGGTCATAGTAAATGCTTCGCGCACCTGATGCTTTTATTTATTTATTTTTCCCCTTAATCCATCAGAGTAAACTCAGTCTAGTTTCCATTCAGTCCAGTCTCTGGAATGGCAAACATGGAACACAAGAGAACTCTTCACAGGAGATGTAAGTAGAAAGTTGGCTTGGTCCCATTACTCAGCATTGGCTAATATCAGCAAAGGAATGAATATTAAGTCCAGGCCCTTAGTAAGCTGTAGGCTGTTGCTGGGATGCTGAATCGTAAAATAAAGGAGCCTGAAAGATAGTACAGTGAGTAAGGTACTTCCTTCAAGTGGTCAAATTGGGTTTAATCCTTAGTACCCAGAAGGTCCCAGAGCCCTGCCAGTAATGATCCCTGAGCACAAAGCCAGTAATAAACCCTGTGGCTCAAATAGCTTCCCTCTACAAATAAGATGTGATTTTAACAAATGAATTATATGGACTGGGGCAGCCCAGGGAATTTCAGAAGCACCTGTACTTCCCAAACCTCCTTATTAAATGTTATGTGTCTTGAATTACCACTAACACATGCAAAGTCACATATGATACATGTTGCTTTTTCTTTTAATAAACACCAGAGATACAGACACACTAAATGCAAATACACATTTGATAAATTTACTGCATCCATGCATAGTCGAATGAGAATCACATATATGAGTAAAATACAAATAATTTCATTTTTATGGGTAGAGAAGTGACTGCCTATTCCTCGGAGACACACAAGCATGCTTGGTGATGAACTTCGGGGCCTAGTTAGTATGCAGTACAAGCAACACACCTCTTGAGTAGTGACCTTTTTGTCTAAACTGATGTTCTAGCTTCCCTGTGACAGTCTGTCCCAGATTTCCTCTTTCACATTCATCTGCTTCATGCATCTGTGGGAACAAGTGACTTTCAATAGCTCCCTAGTGTCTGTATAATTCTACCCAGATACTTTAGCTTGGACTGAAATATTTTCTCCTGCCCTCCCCATTGTATCTTAGGCATACCCAGCCTATGCATCTCTCACCATCCTGCCTTCAACTTCCTGGAAGCAATTTAAAGATTTCTCAGCTCCCTAAGTTTGTACCATCCAGTCCCCTCATCTGAATGCTTCTTTCCCCTTTTCACCTGAACCTCTGTTTGCTGGGAATTATTTAGGATCTATATTTCTGTGCCACACTGATCTATGTCTTGGCTCAGGCTGGGCATATTTTTGTTCATCTTCCAACACTACTACCTACCAGTGCATATATCACAGAGAAGAAGGACTTGTGGAGATTTTACCAATGAATGAACAAACAAATGGTGGGAAAAATTGTAGAAAATTATCCCCAGAGGAGTCTAATCACAGACTCTCATTGAATTATTACTAATCCTAGGAAGAAGCAATAATACAATGGCACTTTATGGATAAAATCTAGTCACTGAAACCATCATTGAGAAACAAACGAAAAAATCTTGAAAAAAAAAAAAGACCGGAAAACCGTAAGAAGAATGTAAATTGGCCTAGATACAAAATACAGTTTGGAATTAAGAAGGGAAACGGCAGTCTGCTTTTTGTTTTCAGATTTCATTGTTTTTGCTCGTTTCTGAGACTGGCATCAACTCTGTACGCTGGAGGAACCCAGGCCGCTGCCCAGTTTGCGGCGCCGCAGGGCCAGGTCCGCCTTTCCCACGAGTGCCCCAACTCCCACCCCACCCCCACCCCCAGCGTGGGCGAACCTGGGGCCTTACAGGCTCCTCCGAGCTTCCACAAAGGCCGTGGCTCCCCTCACCCGCAACCGTGTCAGCGCCAGAGCCGCTCTTGGGGTCTCGGGTGGGCTGAACTCCCCTCCTGGAGGGAAGTGCAAGAGGCTCAAGTTTTTTCTCTTTGAATATTTAACGGCTAGTTTCTTTTTGCTTCTGTTTCTGGCTTGATTAAAGAAATGGGAAAGGAATGCAAGACGGAGAACACTAGCGGACCGCGCGCATCTGGCTTGACTTTGGAAATTCCATCAAAGTTTGTGTCTGTGTTTTGTTGTTCTGTTCAACCAGCGATCCGGCGCGCTTCTCCCGAGGGTGGCGGTGGGGAATGGCGCGTCCACAGTCCGCCGAGCCCAGCTCCAGTGCTCTTAGTCGAGCAAAATAATTTTAAACAAAACCTCGACAGACACAAAGTCGAAGGAAGTTGTTCGCTCCTTAAGTATGAGGCATCTGTTCTGAGCGCCGCGTCAGGCATGCTGTTGTTTGTAGGCAGCTTAAAGAGCAGGATTTTAAACATGAAAAAGGATAAAAGAGAGAGAGGAGGGGGAAAAAAAAAGCTATGTCCCGCGGTGTGCAGAGTCTTATTCATTATCTCCGACAGCATATGGGACCATTCTCCAAATCGTCCCCTCCCCTACCCCTGCACCCCCCCCCCCCCCCCCGTCCCTTCCCAAAGCAAAAGCAACCAAGCCTGCCCGGCGCCCTAGCAAACCCACTCTTTGTGCCAGAGACGTGCCTTCGCCGCCACCTCGGTTCCCTCCTTCGCCCGCCTCCTCCTCCGGCTCCTCCCGCCCGGGGCCGACCCGCGCTCAGGGACCCAGGCGGCAGGCGCCCTCTGCGCCGGGAAGCTGGTGCGGCGATTGGGCGACGCTCCCTGGGCCTCGGGTGCCGCGTCGGTTTCAAGGCTCCTCCCTCCGGGTGAAAGAGAGACTGCGGGGCGCCTGGAAACCGGTCGGAGCGCGCGCGAGGGAGAGGGAAGCCAGCGAGTTGAGGGATTGACACAAATGGTCAGGCGGCGGCGGCGGAGAAGGAGGCGGAGGCGCTGGGGGGAGCCGAGGCCGCTGGTCTGCCGAGAGTTGCGCGCTCTCCGGGGCCGCGGCCACTAGCGCGGCGCCGCCAGCCCGGAGCCGGTCAGCTGGGAGCCGGGGAGGCGAGACGCGACCCCCGGCGCGCCCGAGCCGCCCGGGCTCTCCCCGCCGCCCGCGCTTCATGAATCGCAAGTTTCCGCGGCGGCGGCTGCGGGACGCGGAGCGCGAAGCGGGGCAGCGGGCCGAGAGCGGCTGGGGCCCGACGGAGGGCACCCGCGCCGAGGAGGAGATCTCCCTGGCCGCGGGGGGCACCGCCGCCGGCCGCGCCCCCGTCCGCCCCCGCCGAGCTGCTCGGAGAAAGGAACCCAGAAAGTATGGCTGAGGAGGAGGCGCCTAAGAAGTCCTGGGCCGCCGGCGGCCGCGCGAGCTGGGAACTTTCTGCCGGGTCGCTCCGGGCTGGCCCGGTGGCCGAAGGGATCGGGGCCGCCGGCAGGCTCGGCCGTCGCCCCGCTGCTGACCCCGGGCGCTTGGCGCGCCGGCTGCTGCTGCTACTTTGGCTGCTGGAGGCGCCGCTGCTGCTGGGGGTCCGGGCGCAGGCGGCGGGCCAGGGGCCCGGGCCCGGGCCGGGCCAGCAGCCCCCCGCGCCTCCCCCGCCGCCTCCGCAGCAGCAACAGGGCGGGCAACAGTACAACGGCGAGCGGGGTATCTCCATCCCGGACCACGGCTACTGCCAGCCCATCTCTATCCCGCTGTGCACGGACATCGCCTACAACCAGACCATCATGCCCAACCTGCTGGGCCACACGAACCAGGAGGACGCGGGCCTCGAGGTGCACCAGTTCTACCCGCTGGTGAAGGTGCAGTGCTCGGCCGAGCTCAAGTTCTTCCTGTGCTCCATGTACGCGCCCGTGTGCACCGTGTTGGAGCAGGCGCTGCCGCCCTGCCGCTCCCTGTGCGAGCGCGCGCGCCAGGGCTGCGAGGCGCTCATGAACAAGTTCGGCTTCCAGTGGCCCGACACGCTCAAGTGCGAGAAGTTCCCGGTGCACGGCGCGGGCGAGCTGTGCGTGGGCCAGAACACGTCGGACAAGGGCACCCCGACGCCCTCGCTGCTTCCCGAGTTCTGGACTAGCAACCCCCAACACGGCGGCGGCGGGGGACACCGTGGCGGCGGCGGCTTCCCGGGGGCCGGCGGCGCGTCCGACCGCGGCAAGTTCTCCTGCCCGCGCGCCCTCAAGGTGCCCTCCTACCTCAACTACCACTTCCTGGGGGAGAAGGACTGCGGCGCGCCGTGTGAGCCCACCAAGGTGTACGGGCTCATGTACTTTGGGCCCGAGGAACTGCGCTTCTCGCGCACCTGGATCGGCATCTGGTCGGTGCTGTGCTGCGCCTCCACGCTCTTCACCGTGCTTACCTACCTGGTGGACATGCGGCGCTTCAGCTACCCGGAGCGGCCCATCATCTTCCTGTCGGGCTGCTACACCGCCGTGGCTGTGGCCTATATCGCGGGCTTCCTGCTGGAGGACCGGGTGGTGTGTAACGACAAGTTCTCCGAGGACGGGGCGCGCACCGTGGCGCAGGGCACCAAGAAGGAGGGCTGCACCATCCTCTTTATGATGCTCTACTTCTTCAGCATGGCCAGCTCCATCTGGTGGGTGATCCTCTCCCTCACCTGGTTTCTCGCGGCCGGCATGAAGTGGGGCCACGAAGCCATCGAGGCCAACTCGCAGTACTTCCACCTGGCCGCCTGGGCCGTGCCGGCCATCAAGACCATCACTATCCTGGCCCTGGGCCAGGTGGACGGCGACGTGCTGAGCGGGGTGTGCTTCGTGGGTCTCAACAACGTGGACGCGCTGCGCGGCTTCGTACTGGCGCCCCTCTTCGTGTACCTGTTCATCGGCACCTCGTTCTTGCTGGCGGGCTTTGTGTCGCTCTTCCGCATCCGCACGATCATGAAGCACGACGGCACCAAGACCGAGAAGCTGGAGAAGCTTATGGTGCGCATTGGTGTCTTCAGCGTCCTCTACACCGTGCCTGCCACTATAGTCATCGCCTGCTACTTCTATGAGCAGGCCTTCCGGGACCAGTGGGAGCGCAGCTGGGTGGCCCAGAGCTGCAAAAGCTATGCCATCCCCTGCCCCCACCTCCAGGCTGGCGGGGGCGCCCCACCCCACCCCCCAATGAGCCCCGACTTCACAGTCTTCATGATCAAGTACCTTATGACACTGATCGTGGGCATCACGTCGGGCTTCTGGATCTGGTCAGGCAAGACCCTAAACTCCTGGAGGAAGTTCTACACCAGGCTCACCAACAGCAAACAGGGGGAGACCACCGTCTGAGCCCCTCGGACCCCCGTTCCTAGCTGTCCGCTGGACCCTACCACACCACAACAGCTGCCCCCACCGGAATCCTTGGCCAGATCTGGCGGCTAATAGAGGTTTTCTCACTAGACCCTCAAAGCCGCGGGCCCCTTGGTGAAAAACTGGGCGCCTGCAAAAGTTTCCATCCCTGGGGGCAAAGGGACCAAAGGGACCTGCCAGCGAGGGGGGATGGACAGACCTCTCTAGCCCTCACTGCGGTACCAGGACTGTACGCTTTTATGAATTGTATATAGCCTGTGTAAGATTTTTGTAAGTATATTTGTATTTAAATAATGACCGAACACGCGGTTTTCCTTATTTTTTTTTCTTTTCCTTTCCGCTCCCCTTCTCCCCCGGCCCCCCATTTTTAAAAAGTTTTAATTGTGAGAGTGGTTTAACCATTTAAGGTTTTTCTTGCCCTTTCCCAAGAACTCCAGAGATAGAGATCCGAGCTCACCCACGGGCTGTTCCTCGACCCCCCAGGGCGGGGGAGGTGATGGGACTGGGGCCGCGCGGGACCGGAGTCACTTTCCTCTGCGTTCGGCTCCCTCCCTTCGCCTTCGTGCTGGGGATCAGCGCTTTTAAGGTACTGAACTCCGCAAAGCTTCCGAATCCGGGAATCCCTGTCTATCCCCTCTCTGCCCCGGACCCAGAAAGGACCTTGACTTTCCGAAACTGAATATTTCTTACCCGAGGCTTCCAAGAGGCCCAGGGATGTGGGCGCCTGCAATCTCTGCCTCCCTGCACGCCGCCCCGCCCCGCAGCGCCCACACACTCACTCCTTTCACCGCGGTCGGTTCGAGGGTGAGCGGGCTACACCAATGCCAAACTTTTTCAAGTTCTAATTTTTGGTGGATGAGTTCATTTCATTCTCTAGCTTCTAAAACCTGGTATGGGTTTGACCAGCGTCATGGAAAGATGTGGTTACTGAGATTTGGGAAGAGGCATGAAGTTTTGTGTGGGTTGGGAGAGACTGAAGATGGGGTTATAAAATGTTCATTCTAATTATATACTGATACCTGGCAATCTGCCCCTAGTACTGAGGGGCCCTACGTTTAGATTTTCCCGTTCTGTTAAATGGAAACAGTGAGATCACCTGGAAAGCTTTGTCAAGGAGTTGATGTAGATGGTTCCTTACCCAGGATAGCTACAGTGAGTGTTTTGAAACTTGAAGATTTCAGGGTAATGGACATTCTCAAAATAAGATACTGCTTTTGAAAATTTTTAACCAAGTGATAATTGGACGTGTATCAGAAACTAAGATGTTAAACTTGTACACTTTCAGTTATCAGGATTATTAAGCAGCACATTCCAAGGGAGGAACAATCCACATTACTAAACCTGATAAGATTTTAAGAGGTCAAGGAAATCGAAATAAATGATGAAATTAGCTCCTAAAATATGCAACATTTGAGCATGTGTTTTCGTTAAATATGTGCAGATCTACCACATTAAATAAATATTGTGTACTCCTTTCTGGATTTACAGAAGTATGTCAAATGTAAATTTTTCAAAGCCATTTTAAAATATTAACTTTAGCTCTCTTGGGGAAGAGAAAAAAAAAAGGAGTCTTCCTGATTGTATTGTTTTAAACTTTGAGAGTTTATCAAAATGCTGGTACTTCAGACCTAAATTTATCTCTATCATACCTGAAAATGACAGTGGTCTTCGAATTTGGTATGTGTTTATTCTGTTCACTATCACAAAATCATCTATATTTATAGAGGAATAGAAGTTTATATATATATAATACCATATTTTTAATTTCATGAATAAAAAATTCAAAGTTTTGTACAAAATTATATGGTTTTTGTGCCTGAAAATAATAGGGCTGGAAATGTATGAACTGTCTTGACATTTTCTAGTGTCTCATAGCCAATCTCACGGTATAAAAATTAAAAAATTTAATGAAAAATTCTATGCTTAAACCTTCAAGCCAGTCCTTCCAAAGAAATATCCTACTTGCATTGTTGTGATTGATGTGAAGTCCCAAGAGAAGATTTGCTTTCATGACATGACAGAGACAGTAAAAAGTAGAAATTTGCAAATTATTTCTTTACTCAAAAAAAAATTATTAAAAAGACTTATATAAAGCCTTTTTTTCTTTCAAGGGGTAAATTTATGACATTTTATAATATGGAAGCTTTTTGAAAAGTCATCTTTGTCACAATTCTTATTTAATACTGTCTTTTTATAATCTTGGATATTCCAAAACTACAAGTAGGCATTCAATAAATGGTTAACTGTTTATAAGCATTTTAAAAAGTGTTGGATACATAAGGCTGTTTTATTGTTTTCTACTAAAGACAATATATTGTTCAAGAAGCTTCAGAGGAATTATCTAGGTTAAAGAAATTATACATTTTATATATACATATATTATAACATGTATATATACACAAATGTATGTATATAAACATAAGTATACATGCACCAGTTTAATAGAAAAGATGCAGCATTTATTTGTACATTTCATAATATGGGAATAAGTTACAAGAAATGGGATATGCCAGATAAAAAACATCAACTATCTTTGGAAAATAAGTTTATTATACCTTTATAGATTAAAAGTATCTATTGAATTTTTCCACAAAACATTTTGTGGTAAAATGTGATAAAATGCCAATGGTCTAAATGACAAAGGAATTCTTTTATCATTATAAGGAATTCTTTTATCATTATAAGGTAATTGTCTTATAACTTCTTCATTTAGAAAAGCAAATTAAAAAATTTAAATCTAATTGAAATATAGCTCTCAATTTTAAGTAGCAAGGTACAGTTTCTTTTTTTTTTACATTGGACTTATTATCTGAAAAACTTTTATTACATACACACACAAATTGCTATTTTTAGACCAAATTAAAACACAACTCACTAGGAAGTTCAATGAGTTAATTTCTGAAAACAATATTAAAATTATTAGTCTCCTAAAAATATAAAGCATTTTTATTGTTGATGTCCTTAAAATTATATAAAAATGATGCAGAAAGATTTTATAATACTCAATTTAAATAGCTTTAAGAAGGCATTTTTAAGTCACCTACAGGATTTTTTTAAAAGAACATAATTTATTTTAAATTATACCATATAAAAATTCAGTGTATTTATTTGTTCTTCTAATGGCAGTGACCTAAAACACCATACATAGTTGGGAATATTGTCCCATTAGCATGCTGTTTCCATGACAAACCCTGTTTTCAGATGGATTGCCTATTTTATTTCTTTAGAGGGGTTTTCATTGGAGTCTCAATGGGAGTTGATTTTCCCCCTCACAGTGTACTTGATTCCATTTTTTAAGTAAATGTGTACATAGTATGAAAGCTCTCTGGTGTTCCTTTAAAAAAAAATTAAAAAGGCATTTTTTTATTTTTTACTTAAACATTGTGGATTTAGAAAGTCATATTTTTAATCTCAAAGCCAGCCTGTGTCAAGCATATGCAAAACAGCTGGACTGGATTTTTCAGTTTGGGGTGGTCACTTGTCAGCCTGAGTTTACAGTTCTTTTGTCTGTAAGGCATAGTAAAGCTTGTCTGCTGTAGTTGCATCATTTTTTAAAAGTCCAGCATTTATCTTGGAAAGAAGGCCACTACAAGTAAAGAGTTAGTGGCCAGTCCAAAAAACAAAAAAATCTAAGCCACAAACCTATCAGGACCTGGTTGGATTCAGAAGAATTTCCCTGAGAGCACATTTCAATCTCGATACACTGTTTGATTTTCCATTTTTGTTTTTGTTTTTTAAGATGCTGTATTTGCAGATTGTGTGTTGCATTCAGCTTCACATTTTTCTTGCTTCTGGTGCATCTATTAGCTACAGGTCACATGTAAAATGTGTGTGATGTAAAATGCAGTTAATTGACATAAGTGGGATGACATTGGACATCTCAGATATATTTCTAGTAGAAATATTCTGTGTAACTGGGTACTGAGAGATAAGAATCAGAATGTCATTACATACTATCTTGGGATGGACACAGTGATATTGTCATCAAATACTTCAAAAAAATTACTAATATCATAGTTTGTAAGATTACTCTGTAGGAGCCAAAATAAGATTTAAACTACATGTAAGAAATCTTCAGTTATATTCCTAAAAAAATCAAAACAAAACAAAACTGCAGGGTTATCTAAATTTAAGGCTTCACTCTAAGACCCTAACATTTGAAATGGGGTTTCTCAAGGGATATATCAATCAGGTAACGTATTTTGGTAATTGCTCAGATTCATATATGTATTTTGAAATATTAGTGGATTCCAAAGGCCCATAGAATTTCAACAATAGACATTACTCAGAATTCCCTCAAACTATTGGGGTTTACAAATTTCTCTTCACTTATATCATTTTCCATGGATCTGTCAAGCCATAATTGTTATAATGGCAATATAGCTTACTTGAAACCTAGTGATTATAGATAGTGAAAATAGATAGCCATTTCCTACTCCATTGCAGAACCAAGTTCCTGTTTACCACTTAAATAATAACATTTCCTTGGAGGATTTTGTTTATAAATTGGCGTACACCTCAATATCAGGTCAAATAAAAGGAGTTTTCACATAAGTTTTTGTTAATTAATGGATAAACTCAAGTCTAATCTGTAAATATATCCCATAATGAACATATAATAAATACTTTGAGGGTCATCATCAATTTTATAGTAGAATCTTACATTTCTTGAAGAAAAATGCAATTTTCAAGAGGTATTCCACTAAGTAAATCCTTTCAAGATTAGGGAGACATTCTTAAGAGTTATATATTTGGTAAAGTTCAATTGCTTAGTTTTCTGAGGGGATCAATAGACTAGTGGAATGGCAGAATTGTATAACTAATCGTTCTAAAAGTATTAGAATGGCATTAATTTGCACATCTTACACACCATGTCTTAAAAAAATAAAATTGACTTCCTTGAAGATAATAATTAAGCTTTATAAAAGTATAGTATGCGTTCTCATATAAAAAGATCTCAAGAAATTTCATTCACAGTATAGTCTTTCAAAACATGTCCATAACAATACAGTGATTAACATGAAAAGGAATGACTTTGCTCCTTTGAGATAGTTCTCTATGGCCTGGATATCATTTTTTCCTTTTAAAAACCCAAGTATCTACTAATTTGTGGATATCTCCATGTTTCAGATCTCATTATCTGTTTGAATTAAATTTGCAGGGGAATAACTGCAGGATCCCCCCATAGACAAAGTGTGGCCTTTATTTCCTTTCAAGTTGGCAGTATGTCCTTGCTTAAATGAAGCACTCTGCGACAGATTGTTCTCTTGCCCTTGGAAATACTCTTCTTCACAATCATCACAGCAAATATCTGCAAGTCATACAGGCTAGTTTAACGTATACCAAACACCTAGCACTGTTTGACCTTTTTTTCTTTAAAGGGTGGATTTAGAAAGTATTCTTGACCTTACCTTTCTAACTCTTTCCAACTTTCTAACTCTAACTTTTAAAAAATTTAACGAATAAAAACTGTCAAAATCTCAACTCAGTGTAATGCACTAAGTTTGCCTGAGATTGAGATGTTTCTTGGCAAGAGGAACTTTCAGGGATTAAACCGGGGAAGATCTGGGCAAACTGGAATACTGGACCACAATGGACTAAGTTTGGATCTCACCATGGATTAAATAATGTAAAACCTTTTGTTGGTCCAGCATTAAAAAGTAAGAATACTTTTCATTCTCCAGTCTTTACTTTTCCAATAGTGAATATGAAGCAACAGCAACTGTGAGAATACAAAGGTAGAATGGAACAAATCACATTGCTATCCTGATCATTCTTTGTGCTGTGTGTATAAATAGGTATTGGAGACAGAAACCTAACTGGACAGAGTACTGTTCTTGCTGTTCTCAACTCAAGTTAAATAGCTATTTTATAAAGTTGTCCCCAAAGAATTCCCTTGGCATAGGGTTTTTTTTAAAAAAATTAAAAAATACATTATGTTAAGCTTTATACGATTATAAGGAAGTATTAGAGTTTTGCATATTTAATTTGATTTTCCTTATAACAATAGAGTTTCTTGAAGTGAGAATATGAATTTAAGCAGGGACTATCCCCAAGTAACTATGTAACAACACAATTTAATGACTGTACTTTTTCTAAGAGGAGGTTTAGCAAACATATTTTCCTAAAATCAAAAATTATTATCTATAGGAAGAAGTGGGTAGACACATTTAAAATTCTACAATAATTATTGGGGATTTTTTTGATGAACACAAAGACCAGACTTCCACAATTGAACCCATGGGACCACCTAGATTTTTCTCTTCCCTGGAAATTTCAATAAGCAGTGGCCCTCTCCTTTTTATTGTTAATGAGGACTGGAGCAATAGCACAGTGGTTAAGGCGTTTGCCTTGCACAAGGCCAATCTGGGTTCTATTCCTCTGTCCCTCTTGGAGAGCCTGGCAAGCTACTGAGAGTATCCTGCTCGCATGGTAGAGTCTGGCAAGCTACTGTGGTGTATTCAATATGCCAAAAATAGTAACAACAAAGTCTCACAATGGAAATGTTACTGGTGCCTGCTCGAGCAAATCAATGAACAACGGGAAGACAGTGCTACAGAGTCTGTCTTCATTTGTGCACTCCTGTTATCCGTCTTCCATATCTGCATATAAAGTCCTGTTACTCCTTGTTCATTTGGGCTGGGTAGTTGAATGGGTCCTTAACAGTGTTCGGAGGTCACCACAGGTGATGCTCAGCTGGTGGTGTGTGCCTGACAGCTCAGTGCTCCCTGATAGACACTCACTGCTCCTGCTCTGGGACCACCAGTGCTTCAGCCCTAGGTGCTGGGGATCAAATCTGTGCCTAGTATATACTAGCATGTGTGCCAGTCCTCTCAGCTATTTCTCTGACTTTTTTTTTTTTATCTCTTTCTTTGCTTTGGAAATGAAAAGACTATTCTTTCTATTAGTTAAGTAATTAATTTTTGTTTGGGGGCACACCCAGCAGTGTTCAAGGCTTACTCCTGACCCTGCACTCAGGGACCACTCCTGACCAGTTGAGGACCATATGTGCTACCAGGGATTGAATTTGGGTCAGTTACCAGGGTGTGCAAGCAAGCGCCTTTCCTTTGGTCCTTTTCTCCCTGGCCCTATTTTTACTATGTTTAAATCAAACTAAATAGAAACAAAAACAATGTTGCAGATCATGTACTATTTCAGTAGGTACTCACACAGTAGGCTTTAGAGCTATGATTTTTCAACAATTTTATCATATCCCACTTCCAGGAGATACTGAATAGTATCATAATGCTTGCTTTATCTTCATAACTTTTCACATTATTTTCATAATATTAAAACCAAGTATTTGGAGGACAGGGTTACTATGTACATTTGGTAAGTAGAAGCTAGGGAGGCTACTGAACATTTATTTTATAAAAGTGAAAATAGCCCCTGACAACAGCAAGAATAGTGATTTGATTAACAACAATTGTGAAAAAATATGAATTTGCTATGCTTAGAGAATGGGTTTTACATTTAACTGCAAATTTTGTTTAAAATTGTTAATTGATAAATAATCTGATGATAATGCATAGTGTCAATATTTTAATCTATTTGGACTACTGTAACAAAAGACTATGGCC